AAACAAGACAGAAATTTCAGATGATTAAAATTAAGGACTTTCTGCCGATTTTAGTCAAAATTAAGGACCTTACGAACCCTGCATTAACAGAAATATTACTCACGTGATAGACAAGATTCATTGTAATTTTGCTACTCACCCAATTTAATCATCTAGAAATGTTTATGCATTTCTTTTCAATTTGTGTCCTTTTATGGCTACAATACCAAATAATCCACAATACTTAAGAGAGAAATTTTTATTCTATGCTTGAAATAACTGATTAGGGTAATCTTATTTTTTTCTTTTCTTTGAAATGTCTAATAAATGTAATCTATTTTCAATCAGTAACTACTAGTGCTCTGAATAGCTCAGAAATTTATTACATTCAACAGCATATAAAGACACAGATAATTATAATGTTATGAAAAAACTGCTAAAAAATTTTAATATTATTTCAAGCAATTTTTATACTATTCAATTCAAATATAAATATTTAATAAGAAGCTTCTAGACAACTTAATTATATTATTTATAAAAATTCAGAAGTTGCCAATGAGTTCTGTGGGTTTAAACTTGTTTTATGATTAAAATTGAGTTTTCATAACAAACTATTATACATGATAAATATTTATGCACAACTAAAATTTGAAACTTCTTTCTACAACTTTTACATTTCTCTACATACTTTTACAAAAGTTCAATGCCTTTTCATACTTTCAGTATGGTATAAAAATGTTCATAGGTTTCAACATTGTTTGAAACTGAATTAAGTTAAATTTTACATCAATGAGCCAGATAGCTGAATTTTCGGCAGCTAGCCAATTTGATATCCACTGCATCCTTAACCTAAAAATTATAACAAAGTAAATATACAGGGAATTACCATACCTAATGCTAAATATCCTATTAAAGTATACTTAAACAGTATTTTATAATTTAAATTTTGCATTGCATGATTTTACAAAAGCTGTTTTTGAAGTTAAAATGTAAGAGAGTAGGGAAAATAATGCAGAGAAATAATTAAGTTTAAAATTTATTTACTTATTTTGTTAATTACAAAAGCAAATAGATTACATTACCTTTGGAAATTGTAATTACAGATTTACACAATGTATAATATATTTATAGAGGCTATAAAACTTGTAATTTAAGACCATATTTTTTTCATAAAAACACTTGAAAATTACACAATATATAATACTGCATTTCATTTTTTAATACAAAATTATTTTTCACTTCTTCTGTGTCTTGGTGGTCTATCATAAACCTTTGCAGAATAAACTTTTGTATTTTGACCAGACTGATATCCACTGTTTGAACGGTATCTATTTTGTACATTTGAGTACATATTAGGCCTGTCATGAGCTCTTCTGATTAAACGACACAGCCTTTTCAAAATGAGGTACTGATTTTCTTCTGACTGAGATGAATTACTTATGCTTCTCAAAAAATCTATTTCCTCTTTGTCCCGATTATTGAAGAGATTTGTATCAAACTTTTCAAAACTTTTATTCAAAATAGCAGTCAGTAGTTCTATATCAGACTCAGAAGATGAAAGTTCAACTAGTTCCATAAGAGATTTACCATCAAAAGAAACAGCTGGCCACATACTTGGAATAAAAGCTGGAGCATCTATATTAAGATATTTTTTCCTTTCAATATTGGTTGTATTATCAATAAAATCTGCAGCATTTGCATTAAGATCAGATTTTTTACTTTCTTCAATATACGTATTGGTTGCTTCAAAATCTTGCTTATTATCCCTAATCCCATCGTCTAACATTTCTGAGCCACCAGAAAAATATGAAATTCCTCCTGTATCATAATTCTCATTCTCCTCATCTAATTTTCTCTCATTAAAACTATCAGACTGCAAAAAAATATCTTTTTGTATTCCTTGATCAACATTTTCAACCTGTGAAAATTCATGACAGTTTGAACTTTTTTCAGAATCCCATGTCTCAGATAAATTGGAACGATCATTGATCAAATCTTCAACCTTTCTTGAAGTTTCCATTGAATTATTAATAAAATTTCGCTTTTCATCTTCAGCGTCTTCAGTATCAATACAAGTTGCCTGAATACAAGTCGGCTTCTTATTCATCGAGTTTTTCTTTTCAAAAGTCTGCAGATTTATGTTCTTGGATCTTCCCGACATTTTGAACTGCTGAGGAGTTAACCTATAAATAAAAGATTTTCAGATTAAAAGTTTACACACATATTCTGAAAAGTTTCAATAGAATATTACAGTAAATCCAATGTAGTTGCATTTAAAATTGGGATATAATAATAATAATAATAATAAAAAACGGTGTGACTACAGTTACCAAGAATTAGGTCTCGCTGAACTAAAGCTAAATGCTCTTTAATTTTTTTATATGTACAGCCAAAAGTCGTTAATTCAGACACTCATAATCTGGAATGATCTATAATCCGGACCTCAAAGCTACAAACTTTATGACGTTTGCGCATAAGACCTTTACGGCTGCGCATATGCGTGTACGCATAATACGTTTACTCATGCGCGTTTAATGTATAACCGACAGTATAAGCTAAAATTATCTATTTTGGTTAATGTTGCAGATTGCGTTGTTCCTTAATCTTCGATATGGATCTGGCTTATTACTTTTTGCAGACTGTTGGAGCAATTTCATAAAAGTAAGCTTGAACTTTCGATTATGTCAAACAGAATTTCCGATGCTGGAGCTCCCAAAGGATCTACAAAGCGAATGTATGTTTTGATGTTCATCAAACAAAAGTGGATTGCTGCAAAAATGGATAAAGGCACATCCTTTGTTTCTCTAACCATTCCGAAATCTGTTTATAAATTTCACGCTGCTGTGAGGGAGGGGGGACGCCATGGCGCGAAAAATTGGAAGTTGAACTGTCAGCACGGCTCGCAATGAATCCTTATCTCAGGCAGTTTTTTATTTGGCTTAAAAGTCCTCTAATGGTATTCTTCGGTAATCCTCGTGTGATTAAATCAAATTCCTTGTCATTTAATTCGTTCCAAATTGAAGAAAGTGACACAGAGGTATTGAAAACAAAAAAATTTCTATTGACAAATTACTTGGTATTCTCGACACAGCAATTATAGGACTTGAAGAGGGAACGTTGTAACTGACAAGAAATTATGTCTGTTTATAGAATTAAAGAGAAAGTTATCCACATTAAAACGAAAGCAAAAAACTTACATTGAAAGAAATATTAATAAGTAAACAAATAAATATTAAGCTCTTTTTTTTTTTTTTTTTTTGTAATTTTGATACCTTAGATCATAATTGTCTTTATTTCATAATTACAGTTCATATTTTATTTTATAATTTCTGCATGCCATCTTACAATATTTAAACCGACGATTTATAATCCGGAGTCGCCGAAGTCCCGTTGAGTCTGGATTAATGACTTTTGACTGTATTACTTAATACACTGGCAAAATAAATTAAAAGAATTTGCATATTTGATCTGCGATCTCCAGAACTACTGGACAGATTTTAATAAAATTTGGTGTGAACATAGGTTGGTATAATACAAACAAAATAAACATTCAACAGTTATAATAGGCACACATGTCCGTGTGTAATACTCATGGGAGTCTGAAGGTCTAAAACAGCAGTTGCAGAAGACACAAAAGAAATGGATTAATAGAAGGTATGGCCCCTCTGACAGCCATACAGGCCTCGAAGGGGGATGTCATGCTGGAAATAAGGCAGTTTGTCAGTGCCTGTGACAAATGGTTCCACTTATTCAGCAACGCTGTTTTCAGTTAATGGATGGTTCTCAGAGGGGGGGTTGCGAGTTGCAATTGCCCTCCCCAGAGAGTCCTAGACATGCTCTATAGGGTTGAGGTCTGGAGACCTGGCTGGCCAATCCATCATTCAAATAGCCTCACTCTCGAGAAATTCGTCGACCAGAAGAGCTCTATGTGGCCTCGCATTATCATCCTGTAAGATAAACTCAGGGTCCACTGCAGCTCGGAAAAGGCGAACATAGAGCTCCGAGACTTCATCCCTATACCTCACACCAGTCACAGAGCCTCTGTCAAAGACATAGAGAGGTGTGCGGCCATCCAACATGATGCCTGCCCCGACCATTACACCGCCACAGCCATAATTGTTGATTTCGCAGATACTGGAGGGTAGGTAGCGGGTCTCTAGCTCTCTCCATATAAAAATACGGTGTTTAGGCTAGAACCGAACGGTCACCCATTGCCCCATGTTAATCGGACTCGCCTGTCCGTAGACTTGAGCAGGATTCAAACAGCCTGTCTTCTGGCAAACAACCTTCTCTTCATTGTCTTTTGGAAACATCCACTCTTGTTACATGGGTTCCTGTGGCTTCATACAAGTCCCGAGAGAGCTGAGAAGGTTAATGTAGAAGGAAAACTTACTTCATAGATTACTTCGAACTGTATACAATCTCATATACCTTGTAGAAGAACACCCTTCTAAAGATATTCTTTGACCAAAAAGTATTCAATAATTCATTAAAATTTATTATTTATAAATATAGTATCTATATTTTTGCATGACACAAGGACATAATAAAAATAGAGACTATATAAATAATGCATTGATAAAATGAATTATCCCTAACATGAATTTCAACATGAAATATTATTTAGAATGGAATTTTTTGAAAGATACTGTATCTTTTTGATACATGCATAACCCAACATTAGAATCTAGTTTTTCAGCTATAAGAATTAATGTTGTAGCTGAAAATTAAGTTTATCAGCTATAAGAATATAAGAATAATCATATCAGCATCCCCTTGATTTGCATTTTATAGGTAAATGTTGCACACATTTCATGCGTTTTTCATCCACCACAGAACTTTTTTTTTATGATTACAGGATAGATAATTTTCATTTGATTGTTTAGGTTCACTACATCCCATAGATATAAAACAATAGATAATTTCCATTTCTATATGCTTTCTTTTTCTTTTATCATCTTTTATCAAAACTGTCATTTTTAACCGTTTCTATTTATTTTCTATGTACTTTTAATTTGGTTGAAGTGATATACATCTATCAGTAGTCTCAAACTCAAACTGCATGTACACCTATTTTTGATTACAGCTTCACATCGAAGTTTCATTGAGCTGACTAGAGTTTTAGCTCTTCTTTCGTTATTACATGATGCCAGGAAACAATTACAGCCTCAATTAGTTCCCTTTAATTTGATGGGCACCTTATTCAGACAAGAGTTTTCAACGGTGCCCACAAATTTCGATAGGATTGAGGTCAGGACTGTTCCTGGCCATGACAACAATTTATGCTCTGGTATGAAACCACTCTTTCGATTTTGGCCGTGTGGCAAGGAGCAGAATCCTGCTTGAAAAATAAACGAAGCATTGTTGGGAACGAGATCTCTGATGGAAGGTAGAAGTTTTGGTTCTAGAATAGTGTCAATATATTTTCTGGCATTCAGTGTCCCATCGATGACATGAAGGCGACCAATACCATCTGCTGACATGCATGGCCAAATCATAACACTAACTGGGTTCACCTAATGCACAATCTGAAAGTAGCTGACAGGCTGCAATCAATACATAATATGTATACAGTGGTGGCCAAAATTGTGGACACTTGGAAATTTTTATGTTTTTGAACTTTGTATGCTTATAGAAAACGTTATGTTTCACAAAATGCAAACTTGTATATATCATTTTAAAGAGAATTTATTACTGAATTCAATACAAAAAACAAAATTCAATTATTTGCAATACAAAAAAGTTAAACAATAATAGTTATCGATATACATTAGATAGTGATGATTGCAGTGAGTTATCATACTTAGTAGGGTATCCTTTATTTTGATTACAGCTTCACATCGAAGTTCATTGAGCTGACAAGAGCTTAGCTCTTCTTTCGTTATTACATGATGCCAGGAAACAATTACAGCCTCATTAGTTCCCTTTTATTGATGGGCGCCTTATTCAGACAAGAGTTTTCAAACGGGCCACAAATTTTCGATAGGATTGAGGTCAGGACTGTTTCATGGCCATGACAACAATTTAATGCTCTTGTATGAAACCACTCTTTCGATATTTGGCCGTGTGGCAAGGAGCAGAATCCTGCTGAAAATAAACGAGCATTGTTGGGAAGAGATCTTGATGGAAGGTAGAAGTTTGGTCTAGAATAGTGTCAATATATTTTCTGCATTCAGTGTCCCATCGATGACATGAAGGCGACCAATACCATCTGCTGACATGCATGGCCAAATCATAACACTAACGGGTTCTTCACAGTTGCTTGAATGCAGTCAGGATGTAGTCTTCTCCTATTCTACGCTTACTATTTTCACCCATCACTACCGAATAATGATATCTTAGTTTCATCACTCCATAAACTTGTGACCACTGATCATCTATCCAATTAATGTGTTTCTTTGCCCACTGCAGTCTTTTTTCGTTGTTGAAAATTAAGATAAGGCTTTTTTTGTGGAATTCTACCTCTCAGTCCAAATCTGTTAATCTCTCCTGATTGTTCTTGAACTGACAAAACCACCAGCATCATTCAGATCACTTCTGATGGCCGCTGATGACATTTTTCTATCTTGGAGACATAGTCTTTTTATTCTTCTGTCATCAATAGATGTGGTGCACCTTTTTCGGCCTTTTCCTTCTTTGTTTTTTATTGAATTTGTGCCCTGATATTGTAAACAAAAATTTCGGACTCCAGATGTAGTCCATTGCAATATCCTTTGTCAGATTGCATACTGGATAGGTAAATTCATCTACAGAAACAATTTCAGATTTTTTTTTTTAAGGAACATATTTAAAGTCTTCGATCTAATCTGAATTCATAATTATGCCAAAAAAATCAAGAAATTCCTTAAATCAAGCATATAAAAACATCTCATCTTCAGTGCGAGTATTGCTAGATATATCATCTGCCTAAAAAAAGTCTTTGACATTGCATACTAATCTTTCCTTTGTAAGTAGGACTACCATAATTCCTTTTCTTCTAAACAACATTAAAAACATTACAAATAAATCATGAAACAACATTAAAATTATCTAAAACTACTACCTTATTATAGTTTACATGTTTCTCTTCCCCCCCCCTTCTTATAAAATTTTAAAGGCCAAATATAACAAAGTTACGTCACTAATAACTTTGGGGCTTCAAAGCCCCAAAGTAATGAGCAGCACTAATTTTGCATAGCACAATTTTAACTCGTAATGCTGAAAGCAAAACCTTATTTAATTCCCTAGATGATATTTAACTGATGCAATGGCATAAACATGTTGGAAATTCAAAGTAAATAAATCTCCTGCACAAAATTTTAGACAAACACAATGACCTTCCAGAATGCTGAATCATTGTTTTCTCCCTAACGTGAATGCATTGCAATGTCACACTCTCTTTTACTTGTTCAACTTTTGAAGATGGAAATACTTTTCATTGACACGGGCAGATGTGACAATATTAAACCAGTTTTGTTTCCTTTATTCATCATTAAATCTTTACATGTTTTTGTGAGATAATCCAATTTACTTATTAGATTGGTCATAGTGTCCCTTGAAGTTCGTTATAGTGGGACTCAACTGTATTATAAAATATTTCTACTTACTCATCAATTGAGAAAACAGTTCGAAAAGTAAGATTTATCCGAGGCTCTTTGCTGTGGAAGTGCTTTGGAACTCTATGCTAAAAATATAACAAATAAATAAAATTAGACATTGTAAGAAATGTATTTCATCACAAGAATATGTAACTGCCATTCATGAAATTGACAGAAGAAATTTACATCTAACCCTTCATTATAATATTTAATTATTAATATATTAATTTAGTAATAGTTAATAAAAAATTCATATTACTAACAATAAAATTACATTTTCTTTGTATTTGCATTGCAAATAAAATATAAATTGGCACATAAATTAGTTAGATTTAAAGTGGATAAAATAAGGTAAAGTAGAGGAGTTATGATAGTCCTACTTACAGAGGAAAGATTAGTATGCAACATCAAAGACTTTTTAGGTAGATGATATATCTAGCAATACTCCTACTGAAGAATGTTTCATACTGATGGATAAACAATAGCTACTGGATTACCTTATCACTACCCCAACTTAACATTACATTGTCTTCAGAATAAAGTCTGCATCTATAATATTTTGAATATTGCTGATTTGAAACAATCACTGGGGAATTCATGAACATTCCACTTCAGATATATGCTAATGTAAAAAAATATGCTACTTACTGTCTCCAAGTGCACCTTTAGGGGAAAACAGCAGAAAACAGCATATGTCTTGTAAAACCTACTTGTATTATAAATTTTTGAATACACAAGTTTTATTTCCAATTATTATGCATTACATTCTTCACTATATTTCGTGTTTTGCATGCAACTGTAATCAGGTTTCTTGTGAAGACGACCCTATACACAAACAGTCTGTGATGTTTTGGAGCTATACAACTAATATATCAGGGATGGTCATGTCACTAGGGGTGGTTCATGTCTCTAGGAGCTGCATGTTGGAATTCAGGAATATTCGAGAGCCACAACTAGATTTCCCCAAAACCACAAATCCATATTTACATCATTTTAAAATTTGTAAAACTGGTTTGAAATGAAGAACATTTAGTAATGTAAGTTTAAATGTATTTTATTTGCACAAGAGCCACACCACTCGCCTGCTAGAGCTGCACGCGGCTCGCGAGCCGTGCTATGGCCACCTATGTAATGTATCATAGATAAAATTATGTTACAAAGGTTTTTAGGAATATTAAACACAGCCCCTTATTATTTTAAACCAAAGAATTTGTATGGATGGTAGCAATTTTCAGCAGCTAAAAATAGGAAAACTAGTACATGAAAGTATGACTGGGACAAATGGAAAGATTGAAAAAACTAGGACTTTTTCATACTTATGAAGCATACTACTGTTGAAAGTAACCCCCCTCTCTTGCTACATGATGTTTCCCAGCATTCTGAAAGGATGCCTCCTCTTCAAAAAGAGGAAGTTATCCTTCTAGATTCCCCTCAAACCTTTCACGAAGGCGCACCTTTGTTTAAGACGCTTATGGAAGGGAATCGAAGCATCATACAGGACTGGAGTTTTGCATTAATAAGCCTATTAAAAAAAAAAAAAAAAAAAAGTTCTAGCATTGTAATTTTTGGTACCATTTTAGATTATTACTTGAGCTCTTATATATGTTAAAATTAGCATTTAATAACCTTTTTTTCTTTATTTTACATGAAAATATATTTTAAAAATTGCTTATCTTGTAAAATAATTTAGTGCTATTCAAATTATTCCAAAGTTTTAATTGATAAAATCCATCAATAGTTTAAAATTAATAAAACAATACAATAAAGACTATTTACAGTAAGAAATAACAGAATTTAAAAATGAAGACAGAGTGTGGTAAATCTTGAAGCATGGAGAAGTATCACTTTTTAACTCATAGAAAAAGTATCACTTAGAAAATGAATCATCACTCTCATCTGTGTTAGTAAATGGTTCATTAACCATACGAGTGTATTCTTCCTCTGAAAAATAGCGCCTTCACTCCATAATAGACTGGAGGTGAGGCTTTCCGAAATACGTCTGAAGGCAATACAGAACCTAAAAGACCACATGGTAGAGAAAAAATAGAATAACAAAATCTAACGTGTCACCACATGACTTGTAGAGCACTTGTACGGAATATTAAATTATACACATTTTTTCTTGCATTTCATTTAAACTTATTGGATTGAACTAAATCTACTTCACGGACAAGGCATAAACCACAATAGAATAAATGCATTCTTTAAAATTCACTCTATTTGTTTACCATAGCGACACTCTGGCGCTAGATTCACTTAACGGTATTACATTTCGTTCATATTATAACTCAGAATGCACAAAAATTATATCATTTAAAGAATTATCTAATCGTTGCCACACGTTCTATTCAAATACTATAATAAAGTAACAGCGATGTATAAAAGAAATTAAGCAAACAAAACAAAACAAAAAGTTTTCCACAGACGGTTGAGTGAGTATTTCTCATTCAATTAATTCAGTTCTCACTTCGCAACAAGGCAAAAATACATAAAAACTCAAAAAATATCTTTATTAAAAATTACGAAGTAAATCTTAAACACTTATTTCCTCGAAAAAATTCCAGAAAGGATTAAGCATGATTTAATTCGCAATAATAAATGAAGGCGTTATCTTTGTCGTTGTGAAGCTAAGTTTCTCTAGATTGGCAACAAATCCACTATCTTGCTGTTTCAAATGTAAACAAGCAACGGACACCATCAAAAAAAAAATATTAGGCTTAGTGGCACTTAAACAACTTTAAAATTGTTGATAATTCTAAAAATATTGCATACAGACTTACTAAAGGCATAAAAACCTTAACCGGAAGATAAGAACAACATAATTCAATCATTTTTAAAGCAAAAAATGTACAATTTACAAACATATAAGAGTAAAGAAACTGAGATCACTGAGCCGGGTAACAGAGTGGATATATACATAAATATATATTTATATATGTTTGGTGCAGCCGATAGCAACCAAAATACGAGGTGCACATCTACATGTTATAGCAGTCCTATATACAAAATTTCAACATTCTGAGGCTACTCGTTTTTGAGTTATGCGAGATACGTTCATACAGACGCCACAAAAATTCTCTTCAGAATTCATTTTAAAGCAGTTTTATAATTTTTTTGGAGTAAAAGAGTATTTTATTCTGTTCTTATGTACAGATATCACGTAAAAACATCGTTAAATTGCATTCGATAGTGGTCAAAACAGATATTTTCATTGAAATATGCTGCCTGAAACTTTTCGCGATTACAATACTTCCTTTTTACTTCGTACAAAAAAGTAAAAAAGGAATTGGATATAAATCAGACACGCCAATGTTTATATTAGCATGCAGGGATTTAAAGAGGCCATCATCTCTGTTTATGCTTTCCTCCCCCCACCTTCACAACAGCTGATGAGCAAAATACCAAAGTCAGGAACCTAAAACTGCATTCATTTCAAAAGTAATGGACATAGGATGCCATCTAGTGGTCTTCAGAAAAATGTTCCATCTCAAAATGTGTATACGCATGACCCATCCTCTGCAACCACTAGTGATGCGTGGAAGGGCCGGTTACAGAGCTGATGTAGCAGAATTTTTAGAATTTAGTGGCACAACAACAAAATCTAGAAATGGCAAAACATTTAGAATTTAGAGCAGGCATTGAAGGAGAATTTAGAAAGGCACTAGGCAGCAGAATTTAGGATCCACAGAGGTTGCATCAGGTGGGAAAATGCCTAATGCCAGCTATGTGTATGATGCATTAAGACATATTAGATGAATCTTTTAAATTGTAAATTTTCAATTTCTTTATTAATAAAAAAATCCCTTTATATAATGCCTGCCCATGTGATAAGATTAGAAGCATTTTTGATATTTTCCATGCTTGAGTCTAGCAAAAAATAGAGAAAATAAAGGGAAGATAAACATGTTAAAAGATTCTAGTACCAGAAGTAAAACATTCAAATATTATGTTTTCATTGTTCTTCCAGACGTTCTCCAAAAAGTTAGAAATTCATTGCAAACTTTCTGTAAAATACGTCCATTACGCGTTGATAGCATGGGGACATTTTTCATTTTGTTACATATTTCTTTAATCTTCTAGAATCGTGGGTCTATAAATCTTGCCTTCAAATCCTTCTAAATTTTCCAAGCTGCAATGTCAAAAATACCAAAGAAAAACTATTCCAACCAATTCTGTAACAGCAAACAGCCAGAAGTATTTTGGAAAAAAAAAAGGAGAGAAAAAAGTGTTATGTTAATTTTATAGAGAAAACTGATGCATATTCCGAGACAATTACATGGGAAAAACGCTTACTATGAAAAAATTAAAAAGAAGACTTTTTAATTAATTACATAGCTAATTTTGCTTTTCCTAGGTGCTGTTTCGTAAATTATGCTTTACAGCATTATACCTTATTTATTTTTCAGATTCAAAATATTATATAATAAGTTGCCAAAATGAAACTTTATAATATGACAGCGAAAAATAAAAATGTTTTATTTTAATGTTATTTTTTAAATATAATTACGATATGTTACCATTATTTTAATGAAATTTATCAATGTTATGATGTTTAAAAAAAATCGTCGAAAAATTCTCAGATTTTGGAATTAAAAATTTTCTGTAGAAACTGATCTTAAAATCGCCAAAATGTTGACAAGTCGCCAAATTTAGAACCGTTTAATAAAAGAATTCACATTCCCAAAAGTGAAAATTGTTTAAGAGCTCTTTATTACGAAAAATGAATTTCGAAATGCTTATGCTTATGTTTCATTTCTTGTCAGAAATGCTTATGTTTCATTTCTTGCTTAGAAACTCGAGTATACCATGAAACTCGAGTAAATATTAGACATAGAAACATATTAAAACCCATGAACCCATTCAAAAGATAACCATATACGTCAGTAAATCGCCAAAAATATTCCTAAAAAATGCTAATTCACACTCAAAATGGCAGTCGTAAAAACAGACAGAAAATTCAGATGATTAAAATTAAGAATCTTCTACTGATTTTGGCCAAAATTAAGGACTTTTAAGGACCAAAAACCAATTCCAAAAAATTTAAGGACCGTACAAACCCTATGTATATGGTGGGGCATTCGAAGAC